GGGAGTGCTCCTGCAGGGTGCAGGGTTCTTGGGGCGTTTTGCAAGCTTCCTGGGCCTTCAGGAGGCCGTGAAGGCGTCTTGGACAAATCGTTCGGCGATGCTGGGCCCTCTTGAACCGTCTTGGGGGCCCTTCGGGGGGCTCTTTTGGTCCGCCATGGACTTTTTGGGAACCCGGGACCCTCCGGGAGGGATGCGTATCAGGGTCGCGGCCCCCCTCCCGGGACCCAGGCGTATCTCCCCCGGGACCCCCCCCTGGGAGCCCCCTCCCACCCCGACGGGGGCGTGATCAAAGTGAGGGGGTTCCTGGGGCTTCTGTGGGACCCGGGAACTCCCCTGGAGGGATGCGTATTTGGGTGGCGACCGCCCCGGGGACCGAGGCGTATCTCCCGCGGGGCCCCCCCCCCGACGGGGGAGGGATCAAAGGGGGCTTCCCTGAGATCCTGGCGGCTCAATTTTTTCGAGCCGGGCGTTTTCGCGTTTTTGCGGGTCCCGTGACCCTGACAGATCGATCCGGCTCGAAAATTGACGCAGAAAGATGGGCTCCGGGGATCCAGGCGCGGATTTTCACGATCGTGTATTTTTTTTTTCGCTACGTCGGATCTCACGGTTCCCTTCGATCGAATTACGATGTTACTCAACTTCGCTTTGGCTGGTGCGCTTGGTGAAGGGCCCCAGGAAAAGGAGGGGAGCGGCGACGGGCCCAGGGAAATGGGGGTCGCAGGGAAGGTGCCGAACGGGCAAGACGAAGAGACGACTCGAACGGACAAGCCCCTCACACACGCTGACAGGGTCGGCGGATTTGGGAGGCCTGGCTCATCCGATGCCGTTTTTTTGTTTAATGCGGGGTCCCCGGAAGTCTCTCAGGAGGGGAAAAATCACAGACACAACTATTCGTCGATTCCCAGGAGAGTTATGGACAACGGGGGGGAAAACCCATAAAATATAGGAAAATATGGTGAATCCTGTGACTTGTGTGTATTTATTTGTGTGTCCCAGAGCCCCTTTAGTCTCGACCCCTTCCCCGGGGCCGGCTTTTCCTCCTGAGTCTCGTTTTTGTCACGGTCCCCGGGCCCAGCGGGGGCCGCCCGGGGCCCGCCCGAGGAAGAAGAAAATACGAAAAACCTCCGTCTTGCTTTTTTGGTCGATGCGCTGGATCTCTGGGCTCGGGCCCGAGAGTCGGGTTAAGGGGAGCCGGTTAGTGACTGGGCCCCGAAGCCCCAACCATGGACTGGAATCATTATACCAGGTCTGCCGTAGCTGGCGCTTTTCGGGCGACGGCAATGCCGCTTCGTGAAATGGGGCGGGGGGGGGCCTCCCTGGTACAGATCACTGAACCAGGTCCCACCAAACCCAGTCCCAGAGATCCGATGTCGTGATTTTTTCCCAGCGGGGTCCCCGGAAGTCTCGACCCACTCCCCAGGACCGCTTCTTCATCCCGAGCCGTTTTTTGAGGGTCCCGGGGCCCGGCGAGGGCCCTTCGAGGCCGAAAAATACGAAAACCTACGTGTTGCATGTTTGTTTTCCCAACCATCCTGTGGTGTTGGGTCCTCGTTTTGAAGAGACGTCGCCCTGTGTTCTCCTCTCCTCCTCCTCCTCCCCCTCCTCCCTCCTCCCTCTTCCATTTCGGCACACCCCTCACACGTTTCGTGGCCCCATAGGGAGCTCCGCCGAAGGCCCCAGTGCTGCCGCCCGCATGCGTCCCGCACACCCAATTCGGCACACCCCTCACACGTTTCGTGGCCCCATAGGGAGCTCCGCCGAAGGCCCCAGTGCTGCCGCCCGCATGCGTCACGCACGCCCACTTCGGCACACACCTCACACGTTTCGTGGCCCCATAGGGAGCTCCGCCGAAGGCCCCGGTTCTGCCGCCCGCATGGGTCACGCACGCCCAATTCGGTACACCCCTCACGTTTTGTGGCCCCATAGGGAGTTCCACCGAAGGCCCCAGTGCTGCCGCCCGCATGCGTCACGCACACCCGATTCGGCACACGTCTCAAACGTTTCGCGGTCCCATACGGAGCTTCACCCAAGGCCCCAGTGCTGCCGCCCGCATGCGTCCCGCACACCCATTTCGGCACACCCCTCACACGTTTCGTGGCCCCATAGGGAGCTCCGCCGAAGGCCCAAGTGCTGCCGCCCGCATGCGTCACGCACACCCAATTCGGTACACCCCTCACACGTTTCGTGGCCTCATAGGGAGCTCCGCCGAAGACCCCAGCTAGTGCTGCCGCCCGCATGCGTCCCGCACACCCATTTCGGCACACCCCTCACACGTTTCGTGGCCCCGCGGCCCCTTAGGGAGCTCCGCCGAAGGCCCCAGTGCTGCCGCCCGCATGCGTCACGCACGCCCAATTCGGCACACCCCTCACACGCTTCGCGGCCCCATAGGGAGCTCCGCCGAAGGCCCCAGTGCTGCCGCCCGCATGGGTCACGCACGCCCAATTCGGTACACCCCTCACACGCTTCGTGGCCCCATAGGGAGTTCCACCGAAGGCCCCAGTGCTGCCGCCCGCATGCGTCACGCACACCCATTCGGCACACCCCTCACACGTTTCGTGGCCCCATAGGGAGCTCCGCCGAAGGCCCCAGTGCTGCCGCCCGCATGCGTCACGCACACCCAATTCGGCACACCCCTCACACGTTTCGTGGCCCCATAGGGAGCTCCACCGAAGGCCCCAGTGCTGCCGCCCGCATGCGTCCGCACACCCATTCGGCACACCCCTCACACGTTTCGTGGCCCCATAGGGAGCTCCACCGAAGGCCCCAGTGCTGCCGCCCGCATGCGTCACGCACACCCAATTCGGCACACCCCTCACACGTTTCGTGGCCCCATAGGGAGCTCGAAGGTGCCGCCGCATGCGTCCGTACACCCTCACACACACCCATTCGGCACACCCCTCACACGTTTCGTGGCCCCATAGGGAGCTCCACCGAAGGCCCCAGTGCTGCCGCCCGCATGCGTCCCCACACCCAATTCGGCACACCCCTCACACGTTTCGTGGCCCCATAGGGAGCTCCACCGAAGGCCCCAGTGGCGGCGCTCACATGCGCATGCGTCCCGCACACCCATGTCGGCACACCCGTCACAGGTTTCGTGGCCCCATAGGGAGCTCCACCGAAGGCCCCAGTGGCAGCGCTCACATGCGTCGCCCACGCCCACCCAATTCGGCACACCCCTCACACGCTTCGTGGCCCCATAGGGAGCTCCACCGAAGGCCCCAGCGGCCGCGCTCACATGCGTCCCCGCCACCCATCCTGGCACGCCCCTCACAACAACAGGTTTCGTGGCCCATAGGGAGCTCCACCGAAGGCCCCAGTGGCACCGCCCGCATGCGTCACCACCCGCACCCAATTCGGCACACCCCTTACACGTTTCGTGGCCCCATAGGGAGCTGCACCGAAGGCCCCAGTGGCGTTGCTCACATGCGTCCCCGCCACACATCCCAGTACACCCCTCACGCGCTTCGTGGCCCCATAGGGAGCTCCACCGAATGCCCCAGTAGCGGCGCTTACATGCGTCTGCGCCACCCATGCCGGCACCCCCCCCGCAGCAACATCATGTTTCGGGGACCCATAGGGAGCTCCACTGAGCGGCGGCCCTCACATGCGTCCCCCCCGCCCATGTCGGCACGCCCCGTGCGTGTTTCATGTCCCCATATGGAGCTTCACCGAATGCCCCAGTGGCACCCATCTCGGGACACCCCTCACACGCTCCGTGGTCCTATGGGGAGTTCCACTGAAGATGAAACCCGCAGCTGCGGTACCTACAACTGCATATGGTTGGGTTCTTCGCCAGGCTAATTTCAAACGTCTTGTTTTTGTTCAATGCGTTGGATCTCTGGGGCCCCTGCCATCGCCCGAGGGAGGCCCCCCGACGCGCGCCCGCAGGTGCAGCTGCGCGCCCTGCGGGAGCAGGCCTCCGCGGGGCTGCGGGCCGCAGAGGCGCTGCAGCGGCGGGCCGCGGCGGACCGCAGGCGCCGCGCGGGGGGCTCTCCGCCGGGGGGTCACCGCGGGGGGGGGGGGGGGGGGGAGGGGCGCAGGATGCAGGAAATGAGGGGGAGCGGTGGGGAGTAAGGGGGGGAAGGGGCTCCTCCTCCTCCTCCTCTTGCTCCTGCTCCTCCTCCTCCTCCTCCTTCTCCTCCTCCTCCTCAGAGGCGACGATAAGGGGCGAATAGCCCAGGGGAGAGCAATACATGCATTCGGGGGCGCCCGTGATCTATGTCTTCGACGAGGCTCCTGGGGGAACGCGTGTCATGCCCGCCCCTGGGCTATTCGCCCTTATCGTCGCCGCCGACGGGCGCAGGATGCAGGAGGAGAGGAGGGGTGGGGAGTAGGGGGGGGCTCCTCTCCGTAGCCATTTTGGCTCAAGTCCGTAGCGTTTCGCTCAGGGCTTGGCATTGTGGCCAGGTAGATTTGCGGCCCCCACAGCTTTCCCAGGCGTCCGTCCGCCAGGCTCATTTCTCAAGACGTCCCGCTTCAGGAACTCTCGCTTTCACTGTTTTACTTCAGCATTGCGATGGCGCCTGCCAATTTTTTCTCGTTCGCGCCGCGAATCAAGTCCCAAGGGGTCGAGGAACCATGGGTCATCAAAGGCAGCCGTCGTGTGCCGAAGGGCATGGTGTGCCCCAGTTGCGGATGCAAGAAAAACAGCGCCAACGCCGAGTACTGCAATCACTATGCCAGTGTTCTTCCGTCTCTTTCTCTTGCTGCTGGTCATGTTGTCAATGGGCGCTGGGCGCTCAGTGGTCTTCCTGGGTACTGGTACGAGAGCGGTTTCAGCTCCAAGGGCGTGGGCAATCAGGGCTCGTTCGGTGACAGAGGCAAGGGAGGTAGGTGTTTTTGGAAATTGCAAAGGCAAAGGTAAAAAAGGTTATTTCGGAAGCGACCCCTCCATGTGGGATGCGCTGGCTCGTCAAGATGATGCACAGCGGGGTGATGCAGCTGGGGGAGGTGCCCCGCCACTTCCTGTGGGACCAGTACCGCCCACCTCCGCCGCAGAGGCTAAGTCTCCTGGGCGAGCCGCTCCAAACAACGGGGGGTCATGGAGCGGTTTCCAAGTACCTGGACATGGCGCGTCACATGGAGGCGGCCGCAAAGCCTGTTGTAATTTCGGATCACACCCGCATGCAGCAGGCTCACTCCAACGTTCGTCGGCTCGAGAAGCATATGGACCATATTCTCAATAAGGTGATGCGCTTGCGTGAACAGCTTGGCGATGCGGAGGCCACGCTGCGCAAGGTGCGAAACCAAGTCAACCAGGCGGATGCTGACTACAAGGCCACGCTCGCTGCGTTGCAGGGCTCGCGCAAGTGTGAGGGGGGGCCTCAGGCCACTGTCGGTTCATTCAAGCTCGAGGATCTGGTTGCTGGCTCTGTCGACCTCACCAAGTTCATTGACTGCACCCACATCCAGGAGGATCTCTCGGTGGAGGCCGAGGTCGAGGCGAGCGACATGGAGCAGCTCCAGAGGCGCAGGGAGGAACTGTCGTCAGGAGTCACGAAGCTTGCGAGGGATCTGTTTGCGCGGGTGGTGGACCGTGCCGACAAACTTCGAGACCGGCACCAAGCGCATCGTACGCGGCTTGCTGCCAAGAAGCGTAAGGTCGCAGATGGGGCAGCTGCTGCAGGTGGGAGAGCTGGTGCAGGTGAGGTTGCTGACGCGGCTCCTGCTGAACTTGGGGCGGCTTCTGAAGGTGCCTGTGCCGCTGCGCAGCCTGCCTCGGCAGCCGAGGACGCTGCCTCCCCTGAGGACATTCGAGCCAGGGTTGGCCAGACTCTCAATGATTCTTCGCCCCCTGCCACGGGCGCGCGACAGGGGGCGCGTATCTGCGAGCGGGGGGGGCAGGCTTGAAATCCTCCTGGGGCTTCTTACATTTGTAGCCTCGAGATCGTCTGCGATTGGCCCCAGGTCTCAGGCCTCAGGGATTCGGTTATTTAGGCGCCTCAAGGGTGCCTACGGCCAGGGGGCTGCCGGAGTCTCTTGTGATGTTCTTCCTTTGCCTTCTGAAATTCGGGCGCCTCCAGCAAGCCCAGGGGCCTCTCGCATCTCCTCTGCTGCTTCTGCCTGGTGCGGTCGGGAAACCGCGCGGTGTGAAGACTGGTGGGGCCCCGTTGGTGGAGCAGTCAGTCGCGCGCTTGCCGCAATCCGATGCCTCTTTTCCTGGCGCGAGCTCGGCGAGCTTGACGGTCGGCCAGCGACCTCAGCTTGAACCCCAGCTGCCCAGCGCGCGACCGCTGACTGCGCGATCAGGCTTGACGAGGGGCTCCTGGCCACCACCGTCAACGCCAACGCTTGGGGCGCCCTCGAGCATTAGCTCTCTGCCTCGAAGGCCCGCGCGGTTATCGCGCGGGGGCATCGGTCGTTGGACTCGGGGGCCCCTGGCCAAGCTTCGACATCTTCCAAGTTCCTGGGCTGGAAAACCTCGTGGGCACCTGGAGTACCTGGGGAAGGAGGGGGCGTTTCATCAGGAGTGTGCGCTTGTGTTCGCGATGGCCTTGGCCTATATGCGCTGGCAGAGCTGTGGCGACCATGGCGCGCGTGCCAGGTTGCGCCCCGATGTGCATCTGCAGCCTCTACCTCGTCCACGGCGAAGGTCTCTCTGATTCCCGCCCTGAGATGTTACGTGTTGTAGGGGGAGTTTTTGGGTCCTATAGGCTGCGAGCTCGTTGTGGGGGCTGACTGGGACGTGGGCCCTGAGGTCCTGGGGTCTTTGTTTTGCCAGTCGTCCCAGGGCCTCTTCGGTGGTGCCTGGAGGGCACGCGCGCTTCCCAAGTAGGGGGGCTCCTAATCGTTTCGGCTATTTTGGTGTCTGAGGCCCGGGGCCTCTGCTTGAAACAAGTCGGAGTTGATGATGGCACTGGCCTCGCCCCGCGCCGTCTCGCGTCGCTCCGCTTTCATAGCTCCCTCGGGGATCTCAAGGCCCTCGCCTTCCGCCAGCCCCCTTCGCTGCAAGTCTCGACGCCTTCTTGGCCCTGCCCTTAGGCCTGGCTCCTGGGATGCCGCGCTTAGCTTGGCCGAAGAAGCTCTTGGGGCGGTGGGGGCTGCGGATGGAATCAAAGCCCGCAGGCTCTTCTATCCTGGTTACAAGTCTTGGGCTGATTCTGCGGAGAGGGATTCGGCGCTTGCCCTGGGTCCCGATTTCAAAATCCTGGGGATGATGGGGCAAGCGGCTTCAAGTTTACTGGACATATGTTTTGAAACCTGCGGGAAGGGGGAAGCAGCCAGACTTGCGCGCTGTCCAGTGGTTGTGCAACCAGTTGCGAGCTGTTAGGTGCTACCTCTCAGAATCGACCTTGCAGGGGGCTGATCGTCCGGTGCCCAACCCGATCACCCTGCCCCCAGAGGCCGTGGCGGTGAAAGAAGGCGCGGACTTTTTCCTTTCTTCAGAGCTGACGGGGCCTCAGCCTGATACGCCCTGCTGCCTGATTTTGATCCTGAGCTGCTTTCGGATCTGGACGACCTGATCGCTCTGCTTGCGCTCGGCGTCTCCACTGCTAAGGCCACCTCCGCGACGGAGTCGCGGAAAGAGTGGCGCGAGTGGGTGAGAAGGGGGATCGATGTTGGAGGTCGCAACGCGCAAAAAAAGCTATCAGGGATCCCGAGCCTTGGAAGCCGATTACCACTTTGTCTCGATGTGGGCCCATTGTTTGTGACCCAGTCTCGTTGCTTCGGGCTGAAGGCGACAAATTTGCTGCTATTTGGGGCTCGGGCTCGGGGGATGGAGTTGGACGCGACTTTTTCCGCGTGCCAGTGTTTTGGAGCCTGCTGAGATCCGAGCTGCTTCTAAAACGCATCGTCCTGGCTCTGCGGTCAGTGTCGACGGTTTTCATTGCAGTCGCTCTTGCGTTGTGGTTCGCTTCGTGGAGGGCCACTGGGCCCCTCGCCCGTCTGCTGTCTTGGGTCCCCGTGGCCTTTCTGGCCAAGCCGGCTGGGGGAGGGGGCTCTGTCCATCCCCGAATGATCGGGGAAACGTAAGAGACTTGAGTAAATCCGAGTTTGCCGACTTTTGTTTGACGAGCGCGTCCTGGATTTCGACGGTCCCGTTTTCTTGGGATGTCTCGCAGCGGGAACCCGCGCCAGATTCCAGATTGGGTCTCGGCGTTTCTACGATGGCCCCATTCAGGCCAAGTCGCGTCCCCCGTGCCCGAGTCTTGCGCCTCCCCGAAAACGGTTGCACGAGGGCTGGGCGCACGCGTGGAATTGGGCAGGTCCTCCCTGCTCTTCGGCCCCTGCTCCTCCGCCTGCCCGCCCTCCTCCTTTTCCTCCCCCCTCTCCTCCTGGGAGGAGGCACCTTCCTCTTGCCCCTCTTCCCTGCACGTTCTTCTTGTTCATCCCCGCTTAAGCGCGCAGTGGCTGTAGCGCCAGCTCCTCCGCGTGGAGCCCGCAGCGGCACCGAGGAACGGCGCGAGTCCTGCCCCTTCTCCTCCGCCTCCTCCTACCCGTCCCCTCCTCTCCTGCTCCTGCTGCTCCTCCTCCACACGCTCCTCCCCCCCCTGCTCCTCCTTCCCCTTCTCGTGCTGCTGCTGTTGCTGCTTCTTTTCCTCCTCCCACCCCCCTATTCCCCCCCCCCCCCCCTTTCATTGAAGGGGGTATATAGGGAGCAGGGTGGAGCAGTGGGAGAAGAAGGGGGAGAGGAGGGGTCGGAGGAGCGAGGCGGGATGCAAGATGCAGGATGGAGGAGAGTGGATGGCCGAGGAGGAGGGGGAGGAGGAGGAGGAGGAGGAGGAGAATGAGGAGGACGACGACGATGATGATGATGACGACGACGATGATGGTGATGGTGACGGTGACGGTGATGGTGATGGTGATGGTGATGGTGATGGTGATGGTGATGGTGATGGTGATGATGCTGCTGATGATGATGATGATGGTAGTGGTGGTAATGGTGATAATGATGATAATGATGGTGATGGTGATGGTGATGATGATCGCGTGTTTGATGATGATGCTGATGATGATGCTGATGGTGATGATGACGATGATGATGCTGATGATGATCATGCTGATGGTGCTTGTTCTGGCGCTGATGTTTATGATGATGATGGTTCGTATGATAGTGTTGATAATCATGACGATGATGAAGATGAATACGAAGATACACATGATGACGATGATGGTGATGCTGCCGATGATGATGATGGTGATGGCGGTTATGATGGTGATGCTGATTATGCTGGTGTTGGTAATGGTGATGGTGATGATGCTGCTGTTGATGATGGTGATGATGATGCTGATGATGACGATGGTGGTGGTGGTCATGGTCATGGTCATGGTGATGAGATCATGATCACGACCGTCATCATGATCAGTATCATTATCATGACTATGATGATGGTGACGGTGATGTTCATGGTGATGACGATGATGGCTATGGTGATGATGAGGAGGATGATGCTGATGCTGATGCTGATGCTGACGCTGACGCTGATGCTGATACTGATGCTGCTGATGATGACTGTGATGATGAAGGTGGTGGTGGTTGTGATGGTGGTGGTGGTGGTGACGACCGCGACGACGACGACGACGACGGCGATGACGATAATGAAGAGGTGGAGGACTGAGGATGGAACATGTGGGATGAGGACGAGGGGGATGAAAAAGAGGAGGAGGAGGAGGCGAAGGAGGTGGAGGAGGACGGCATCGAGTGAGGAGGAGGGGGAGGAGGAGTAGGAGGAGGAGGAGGAGGAGGAGGACGAGGAGGAGCAGGGCACTGCGAGGGAGCGGTAGGACCTCACCGGGCGGGAGCGTGCGTTGATCCATTAGTTTTTGCTCGGCGTTCACCCGACCCCGACAAGCGTTGCGTTGTGGCCTTCGTCTGCGTCTCGTCGACGACGGGGACGAGCACAATGACGAGAACGACGGTGCCGCACTGTGGCCGTCGATGACGACGGCGATGACGACAATGACGATGATAACGACGGTAATGGCGATGATGGTAGTGGCTATGATGGTCACGAGGTTTGTGGCGATGACGGTTGCGATTATGATGGTGATGTGTGCAGTGGTGGCGATGACGGTAGCGATGGTTATGATGATGATGATGATGATGATGATGATGATGATGATGATGATGATGATGATGATGATGATGATGATGCTGATGCTGATGATGATGATGATGATGATGGTGAGGATCATGATTATGATGGTGGTGATGATGATTATGTTGCAACTCATGATGATGATAGTGATGTTGTTGTTGATGATGTTGATGTCCGTGGTGATGATGATGAGGACGATGCTGATGACGATGCTGATGGTGATGATGCTGATGGTGATGGTGATGATGCTGCTGAGGATCGTGTTGTTGATGCTGATGCTGATGCTGCCGATGATGATGATGCTGATGATGATGACTCTGATGATGATTATGATGATGATGCTGTTGATGACGATGATGATGATGATGATGCTGATGATGCTGCTGCTGATGATGACGATGATGATGATGATGATGGTGGGATGATGAGGATGATGAGGGTGAGGATGAGGATGAGGATGAGGATGAGGATGAGGATGAGGATGATGATGATGATGATGAGGATGATGATGAGGATGATGATGAGGATGATGATGATGATGATGATGATGATGATGATGATGATGATGATGATGATGATGAAGGTGATTTTGGGTGTGGTAATGAGTGGTGAGGGTCCCTCTCCCTCTTCCTTTCTCTGTTCGCCGTGCCTCACTCTTCACCTCGGCCCCCTCTGCCTCCCTACCCCCAA